GGAGGGGAGGCAAGCCTCCTGAAGTCTTTCCTTTAGTCACATTAGAGATAACATGTCATCAATTACAAAGAGACTAAGTAACACAGCAATCTGGCCATATTCATCTGAGAGCATCAAGTGTGGCAGCCTTGATTTTTAAGGTGGTTGTTAGAATATGCATATTTTAAGAACCACAGGGGAGCACATGGCCTCGCAACATGTTGTTCAGTGAGTACTGTTAACCTGACCTTCTATGCAGCTTTCAGTGGTGGGGTTGGAAAAATGGGAGTTTAACTTAGGAGAGTGAGTGATTCAGCCTGCTGCTGGGGTAATAACTGTTTGCTGGCCTCCCTGGGTGGAGTTCATGAGGGGGCGAAAGCAAGATCACAGCCTAGTAACCACGATTTCTAAACACGTTTTAAGGGCTGCTAGAGAGAAATGCAGCTGGCTCCCCCTTTCTGATTTCAGAGCTGCTCATCCCACAATAGCAGGCTGGAATTGACAGAATCCTATGCGATTCCATCCTGATGGCTAGTCACCTTACATCTGGAAGTACCATTCCAGGTAACCTCTACTGTACTTCTAAATATATGAAGTTCATGCCTACAACACAGAATGTTTGGGAAAACAGTTAAGGCTAAGGTCAGACACTGAGTAATCGCCTTTGTTGTATATGACAGATAGCCCTTACCAAATACTGGGCTCTGGAAAAGCTTTAGCACTGATGGTTGATTTCAGATCTGTGTCATTTTGTAAATGGCTTCACATCTGGGTTGTGCTCTCAGGTTCCAAGAAAACAATCTCTTACCTAATGCAAAGTGGATAGAATTTGGAGCCCAAGATTCAGTTTTCAATATAAAGCAAACTTTTTCTCCTTTCTGCTTAATTCTGCTTAAATAATACCACTTTGGATGGTACCTTTTGTCTTAGAACTGGGTGGAGAAATTGGTAAAGACTGACTTCTCAGATTCTCTTAGGTATTTTCTAAGCATGCTATGTCTTGTTTAGGTCCTGCACATCTCTTAGGTAGCATCCAAGAAAGGGGAAAAAATTGTATGTGTGTGAGCATGTGCATTTGGACATACACACATGCACATACAGTCAGAAAAAAAATAAATGCTTTTCCTCCTCAGAATTACAGCATCAATTCTTGAGATTCAAATACATTTAATTCACATTTGAGAAAAGACGAAGGACATGACAAATGAGCATTACCAACCCGACAATTCTTCCTGGAAACATATTCAGCAGGCTGTTTTGCCTGTTGGAACACGCAGCCCCATCTGCTCTGGGGAGGTCCAGCTGAAGTCCTGGAGGAGCAAGCCTCAGCTGCCTTCTGTGATTGACATGCTTGTCTTCCCTCCTCTCCCCCCTCCAGCTCCCCAGTGATGAGCAGTCGCCTCTGCTCCATCTCTATTTTTATTTGACCCACAGCCAGTTGCACTGATTCCAAAAGAGAGAAAAGGGTCTGGAGTGCCTTCTATCCTCTCCAGCTGGCCTGCTGACATGATTGATAACTGCCAGGGAGTACTCTCCGAAGACTAAGTCCTTTTCATTTGGCCTGATTTACACTGGCTTTCTCATACTCATTCTGGGTGTGAGAACTAAACAGCCCCCCATTACTTAGCCCTGAAAGCAGGGATGTCACTAACGATGGCCTCATATGACTGCCTAACGGCCTATTAGAAATCTCATTTTGCTTTTTGGAGATGTTATTGTGACGCCAAGTGGCCCAAGGTTTCATTACTGGTGAAAGCCCTTTGTTGGGCTGGTCCAGCCTGTTGTGTCCCCAGATTCGCAGCTCTCTTTTTGTATCGCTGTTCTGAAACAGGAATATTGTTACTTTGAGCAGATTTCATGACATCAGTAGAGAAAAACATACTTAAACCAGGAAAATTGCTGCTGAACAGAAAGGCACCATCAAATCTCCCCTCAGATCCAAGTGACAAACTCCACTTTGTTCTGCTGTCCTGACATCAGATTTCCCCATACAGCTTCAGACAAATGAATACCTGCCAAGTTATTATTGTGAGGATTAATGAAAAGGGCATTTTCTATGATTAAGGCTTTTCTCCCCCGTTTTTATTTTTCTTCGAGGCAAAGGACTGTGTTTTTTTCTATTTAACACAGCTGCGAGACCTTGAATTCCATTCTAGTGACCTTGTAAACTGCGTTCCTCTTGTCCTTGGACCACTCCCTGTTTCCTGGGCAATTTGCTTTCTCAGCAGGAAATGGTCGGCGACCTTGAGCGAGTCATTGCACCCCTCTTTGCCTGGGTTTCTTTACTCCAAAAGGATGACAGTCGCTCACTGTTATTGTTGCGAGGATTGAATGAAATGTGTGGAAAGTGCTTGGCACACTACCAGACCGAGAGGCTCATCCCACCAGTGCTTAATGAGCTCCTACCACGTGCCAGGCATTAGTCCGAGTGCTGGGAATACCAAGAGGAGCACACACAGGCCGAGTTTCTGGTCCTGCACGTAGTCTCTGGCCTCATGGTGCTTTCAGCCCAGTTGAGGATTGGGGCATTAATTAAATCATCATACAGAGTCCTATCTCCAAATAGGACTAGGCCGAGGACTAGGCAGGAAAATTACGCAGAGCACCACTGGGCCCTAACCTAATCAAAGAACACCATCCCTAACATTTGAGTGGAGCTGGGAAGAACCGGGAAGAAGAGACAGCAGTCACCCCTCCTGCTCGCCGCCCCACCCGCAACGCTAAGGTGCCTTAAGCAAGTTAGGAAAAGGGCCCCTACCCTAGGGCACATGCAGCCCCGTGCCCCTGAGGGTGGCTAAGCGAGCAGAGCTTGGGCTGGGGTTCAGAGGCCTCCGGCCCATCTGCGGGGTGCCCTTAGGCAGCAACCTGGGCAGCCGTGCTCAGTGCCCTGGGCTGGGAGCAGGAGGATATTGGATGCAGAGGAAGCCCCTCTGCAAAGGCCCTGAGGTAGGAGGGCACATTTGAGGGGCAGCGTGGTAAACCACAAGGAGCCATCTGGTAGGAGGGGAGTCCACACCTCTCAGTAATATTAATGCGTGATTCTCATAAATCCTCCTAAATTCACTGCCAGCACACCAAGGTCTCTTTCAAAATTCCAAGGTCTCTCTAGAAGCCACTGGTTTTTAACTAGTGAGGGAGAATTATTTCAGGGTGTGATTTGTTGACGTCACACAATGGAGCCTTAAAGAATAAAGACAATGGATGAGGAGAGACATTCAATGTGGAAGGCATGAAGGTGATGCGCCTCCAGGGGCAGGCCTCCCGCAAAGCAGCCTAGAAAACTGGGTATTAGGCAAGAGGAAGTGAAAACAAAAACAGAACCAACCACATCATGCAAATAACAATGGAAACAGAACATTAGGGAGAGGGTTCTAACAATGCTATCATTTTGAGGGCATAATTATCTCTCCAAAGAAGAAAGACATTCAATGTGGAAGGCATGAAGGTGATGCGCCTCCAGGGGCAGGCCTCCCGCAAAGCAGCCTAGAAAACTGGGTATTAGGCAAGAGGAAGTAAAAAAAAAAAAAAAAAAGCCACCACATCATGCAAATAACAATGGAAACAGAACATTAGGGAGAGGGTTCTAACAATGCTATCATTTTGAGGGCATAATTATCTCTCCAAAGAAGAAGAATCTCCTTTACTGGCCAGCCAGAGACTTAGAACTGGCAACCCTGAACTTGCCAGAAGTGGTCTCAATGCCCCCAAAATTCTTCCTAGCTTTGGTTACTTTGATTTGGGAATAATTCAAAAGGGCATTCATTCATTCAAACAAATATACTTTATCAAGGGTGGGGCTTTTGTTGTTGTGGCTGTTGTTAAATAATTAAAACAATAATAAAGAATGAAATAAGATATAAAAACAGAAAATAAAATTAAAATAAAAAAACAACAGAAATAGAAAAAGATCCTGGAGAATCATGCATTGTTACCAGTTAGCTTTGCGGCCTGTGCCAGGCTGGGCATTTGCAAGTGTTTGCCCAGTTGAGATCTGGTGTCAGCATGGCATTGAGGGAAGCCTGGGCCTTGGGATTGGATGGGTCAAGCCCAGATCCTGGGGAGACCACCTACAAGCTGTGTGACCTTGGGTAGGTTAGTCTACCTCTCTGCACAATGGGAGTGACTGTAAACTCAAATGATGGCTGTCATTAGGGAGAGCTCTGAGGCCAGGGCACTTGGGAATCCCTCACTTGCAAAGTTTTTCTGAGATCCTACCCTGGGAGCAGCTTCCATGTGACCCACATTCTTTCAGAGGTTTATTTATGAAAAGTCTAAGATAATAACTGTGCTTGGGAGAAGCATAAGAAACCAGATTTGTAAGATCTCATCAGCAGCTAATATATCTATAAAACTTTTAGGGGGAAAAGAGAAAAGAGCACTTAGACATGATTTTTAAATGTGTTATCTATGACCAAAAATCTTATCACAAGCTGAAAACTCCAGGAAAGCAGACACTGTCAAGACCTAGCACTTGAGATATTTTATTGCTTATTAAAATTGCTTATGTAGTACCAGAATGTAACTTTAAAATATGCTTGAATTTAAACCACATTAAACTGGAATGTGCACACAATTTATCAGAGATAAAGTCCAATATTTTGCTTTCAGGCAAGAGATGGACTACTTAATTTCCCTTCAGGAGAAAGCTGGAAAAAGAGCCCTGTATTATGTCTCAGCCACAATGCAGCATATAATAAACATTGCTTGTGTTTTGTCCACATGCCTTTATGTCAGTAACTTATGTTGCACCTTCAGGACTAACATGCAACCTAGCCCTTCAATGCAGAGCAGGGTAACAGTGATTTAAGATTATGCTGGTTAAGAATAAAAAAATCTGTCCCAGATTTTAAAATAAAACATGCTAACTCAAGCCTAAATTCTTCTATCAGAAATGACATTGTTGCTTTCTAGGAATGGGAATGGTTGAGGCATTTAATCAGAGAGGCCATTATGTTGTCAAAGGCCTTGCTGAGGCTGAAGGACGGATTCTCATGGGCATATGACTATTTTATTGCTTTCAGCCCGCGGCCACCAATCCCACTCTCCCTCCTGCTGACAGAAGAGGAGGCAGCCCTGATCATTCAATCCTTCTGGAGAGCCTATCTGGTAAGAGTCAAGTGCGATTACAGCATTTGGCCTGATGGGGAGTTTTTGTGATGTGGAGGGCCCATGGGAAAACCCTCAGATGAATTTGAAACAAGCTATTACAGCTAATATCCAGACCTCGGAAATAGGATTCTCTGTAATATAGGTCTTAGAGTGATTTGGAGTTTTTACCAAAACTTACCTTGCAATTTTCATTAAAAGTATCCTCCAGCTTTTTAAAGTTGGGTTGCTTGGCCTATATTACCTAAAAAATAATATTACATACATAGAGCAATACAAAAAAATAGAAAACTCAGGTAATTCAGATAAAGCAAATATACATTTTTGAGTCATTGATAACTCTGTCACCTAAAGATAATCAGTGTTGACATTTTGATGTAAAACTTTTCAAACCTTAAAAATCTTAATTCATAGAATAATGTTTGGGTATATACTTAACATAGACTAGATATAACCTTTTCTTTTAAAACTTGTCTTTTCTAACCATTTTCCTACTGGTTGCTTTCAATTTATCACTGTTATAATAATTGCTTCAATATACAACCCTTGTGCAGCTATCTTTGTGTATTTGGTTGGTTGTTTATATAAGAGGTCTTCTAGAAGTAAGTCCCCAGGTGAGTGCCTTTCTAAAGCTCCTGATCCATGTTGTTATATGGCCTCGAGGAAGGATGTACTTTAAAAAATTCTTACCAAATACATATGAGAATGGCGTGTGTATTTTGTGCTAAAATGTGTGCCACCTCTCTGATTAGTTGGTGATTAGAGTATAGAAGCTTACAGGTAGATGTGAAGCTCCCATTCTAGATAACAGCGTGGCTGTACCCAAGTCTGAGTGTCAGACATCTATGGAATGAGTTTAGGTTTGATGTCAGCAGTGGCAAACGTTGCCACAAGAAAAGGTCCCACTATGGAGGCTAAAGACTCCCGTATTGATACACTCCTCAGAACTGCTGTAGGAGAAACAGACTGTGGTGAACATACCGGTAAACAATTATCCATCAAGATGCCAGATTAATGAGATACAATTAATTAATCCATCAGCAGAATATTTGTTACATGGCCATTAAATGGAACTGTCCTTTATCATAAGGAGCTAAATGAGGTGACATTGTTCAGTCATTCCACTCCTTCTGTACATGGCACATTCCTGAACACAAGGGACGAGGTCCAGTGTGAAAGTTAATAATAGATGTGCACATTATAAGGAGCAGTCTGCTCCCAAAGAGTTAAAAACAAGTTAGTTACAAAACCCTCTTTTATACCCCACGCCTATTTAGATATAATCTTTTGTGACACAGGTTTTCAACATGTCATACATATATTATAAATGTGTTCTTTTTCCTTTGTAACTGAACACAGAGGGTTAGCTTAAGTTTAGTCATGTCCAACGAAGGCAGAAGATTCCTGGCTTCCATGTGCTTTTTGAGTCCAACCTTTGTCGTCAGTGTATTTCTTTTGGGAGATGTACTTGTTACACCAGAATCCGCTATTTTGCTCTTCTATTTTCTGTTCCTTTTAATGAAACAATAAGGGCAAAATATGGCAAAAATCGGGATTTTCAGGTTTTGGTACTTTAAAACAGCAAAGCCCTTTCTTCAAATCCAGTCATACCCAGAAGCCTGGTGTGTAAGCAGCACACAGCAGTAAAGAGGGTGTGTCATTCCTGATTCTCCCGTGCAATGAGACTCCTACGCTTCCACCCACTGGAGGCCTGTATCACAGGCACAGCATGAAAAAACATACAGAGCATCCTTGGCTTACAAAGGGATTATGTCTAGATAACCCCATTCCAACTTGTGAATATAAGCCGAAAATCCTTTTAATACACCTAACCTACTGGACATCAGAGCTTAGCTGAGCCTACCTCAAACATGCTCAGAACACTTACTTACATTAGCCTAGAGCTGGGCAAAATTATCTAGCCCAAAGCCTATTTTATAATAAAGTGTCAAATATCTCATGTAATTTATTGAGTACTTCGCTGACAGTGCAAAACAGAGGGGTTGTGAGTGTATTGGTTGTTGACCCTTGTCATCACCTGGCTAACTGTGAGGCTGTGGCTCCTGCATGTGGCTCAGTAGCATGAGGGTTATGCCAAGTGCCATGAGCTCAGAAAGAGATCCAAATTCAAACTTTGAAGTATCATTTCTACTGAATGCATATCACTTTGGCATGATCGTAAAGTCAAAAGATTGTAAGTCAAACCATCATAAGCCAAGGACTGTCTGTAGTGTGTAAGACAGCTGAATTCAGCTCATTACCCCAGCACTGCCACATGGAAAGATATCAGAATAGCTCAAAATTTAACTGTGGCTCTAGTACCATCATCACGCAATATCTAGAAATGCTCCTGAAGGTACAAAAGAAGTTTAAGGTGTCAGGGTATACTGCCTGAAAGTCAGGCTGTTCAAATCTGAACACCTCTTGTGCTAAACATATCCAAAGGGTGCCAAGATGGGAAAGATCCTAAGCTGTGGCTAGAAGGAAAAGATGCCTGAGGTACAGGATGACCTAAGGAGTTCCCACAGAAGGGAGAGTCTTGATCTCAGCCTTTAAAGAAAGATGGGGCACTGGAGTGTCAGCTGAGCTCCCAGGCAGATGAGACAGCATATATATAATATAATATTTTTTTATTGAAACATGTATTTTCAACAGATACACACACAGGCATGCATAGGAAAATATCTGAAAGGAAACAGAGCAATCTGACAATAGTGGATAACTTGGGGTGGCTGGGAAAGAATTAGGGAGACTCTAGCCTTATATATGCTGAACAATTGTTTTACAAAAAGAATAGTATGATTTCATTAATTAGAAATTTAAACCTTGTAATCATCTTGATGGATGCAGAAAAAACATTTGACAAAATTCAACAGGCTTTCATGATAAAAACAATGAGGAACACAAGAAACTTCACCCTGATAAAGGGTGGCTACAGAAACTCCACAGCTAACATATTTAATACTGAAAAGACTGGATGTTTTCCCCCTAAGATTGGGAGCAAAGCAAAGATGTCCTTTCTCCTTTAGTTTAGTATAAGAGGTTCTAGCCAAGGAAGTTAGGCAACAAAAAGAAAGAAAAGGCCTTCAGATCGGAAAGGAAGAAGTCAAACCATCTCTATTCACAGAGGACATGACCTTCTATATAGAAAATCCTAAGTAATTCACTAAAAAAAAAAATTAGAACTAAGGAACAAGTTCAGCAGGTTTTCAGGATACAAGATCAATATGCAAAAATCAATTGTATTTATCTACACTTGGCAATGAACCATCTGAATGAAAATGAAATTGAGAAAACAATTCAATTTTCAATAGCATCATAAATAATAATATACTTAGGAATAAATTGTAAAATGAAAATGTGAGACATGTATACTGAAAACTACATGTTGTTGAAAGAAATTTTAGAAGACTTAAACAAATTTTAGAAGACCTAAACATCTGTGTTCATTGCTTGGAAGATCTGATATTATAAAGATGATGATACTCCCCACATTCAGTATCTGGATCAGATTCTGTCAAAATTCCACTCATTTTTTTTTTTGGCACAGAAATTGACAAGCAAATCCTGAAATTCAGAAGAAGATGTAAAAGACCCAAAATAGCCAAACTAGTCTTGAGAAGGAACAAAGTTGGAGGACTCACACTTCCTTCCTTCAAAACTTACTACAAAGCTACAATAATCAAGTGGTGGCATAAGAGCAGACATAGAAATGAATGGAATAGAACTGAGAGTCCAGAAATAAGCCCTTACATTGATGGCCAGTTTTCAACATAGTCTTTCCAACAAGTGGTTCTGGCACATCTGGATATCTACTTGCAAATGAGTGAAGTTAGATCTCTACCTCATACCATACACAAAAATTAATTCAGAATTAATCAGACCTAAATGAAAATGCTAAAACTATAAAAGTCTGAAAACAGGTAAATTTCCAAGACCTTGGATTAAGTAACAGTTTACATCACAAAAAGCACAAGCAACAGTAAAAAACAACTAAACTGGACTTCATCAAAATTAAACACTTCGGGGTCCTAAGAACACCAAGTGAGTGCAAAGACAGTCCACAGAATAGGAGGAGATATTTGCAAATCGTATATCAGATAAGAATGTAATATCCAGAATATATAAGGAATTCTCACCACCAGACAATCCAATTACAAAATGGGCAAAGGACTTGAATAGACACTTCTCTACAGAAGATACACAAATGGCCAATAAGCACATGAAAAGATGCCAAGCAGAGCCACAGTGAGCCATGTCACCCCCACGAGCTTGTCTATAATTAAGAAGACAGTCACAAATGTTGGTGAGAAGGTAGCAACTCTGAAGTCTCATCCACTGTGGGTGAGAATATAAAATAGCGCAGACACTTGGGAAAGCATTTTAGCAATTCCTTGAAAAGCCAAACTTTGAGTTAACCACTCTGTGACCCAGCAATGCCCCTCTGAGGTATATATTTAAGACAATTGTCTAAACATACAAAAAGATTTTGAAACAATAATATTCAGAGAGCATTCTTTGTTTTATTTTAATCCAATTGTTAACATGCTCAGTTCATTCTGAAATTTCATAATCTTGGTTTTTTTTCCATAGTCTTCTTAATAGTGTTTCTGGTTTGAGCTGCCTGCATGTGTGCTTGCACACATGTGTGTATGTGTGTGTACAGAAAATAAGTATTAATATTTTAAGTTGCAAGGAAGTTTGATTATTTTTTGCCTATAGCTCTCCTGTTACAGTCTTAATTGATGAGAAATAACAGACCACAAGTCATGTAGAAAGTGGTTTGATTTCACCAAGAAAGAAAGCCTTTCACAGCGCATGTGTTAGACTTCACTGGAAAAAGCCCTTTCCATCAGCCAGCAGTCCAAAAGGCAAGGGAGAAATAGTTGCATTTCCTCCTTCAGAGAATTTTGAAGACTTTAAATAAAAAGTAGTGGTGTTCCAAAAGAATTAAAAGCAGGGACTTGAATAAATATTTGTATACCTGTGCTTATAGTGGC